GAGAGAGGGAATATCACTTGGGCCCATCTGAGAAGGTTGCTTATGTATGAAGAGCTTGTTGGGAAGTGTTGCACTAAATCCTGGAGTTGTGAGATATTTGCTGTGGAATTAGGATATCGAGGATTTGTATGCCACTCTACAGTAGATTTCTTGAGGAAAGTTGAAATAGTGGGGTGATACTTGAAAGAGACATTGAAAAGGGTAGGTTTGGCTGCCTAAAATAGCTTTGCATGTATTTGAAACAAGCATAATAAGACCAGGTGCAAGTAATAACTGTTGGTGCCTGATGCTCAGTGATGGCGTTCAGTTGCTGCTGGGGATGGTTGTATGTGCTGTACTGGAATAGACTCTGAAACAGTAACACCCATGGCTTCCAGCTAATGACTTGGGCATTAAGCAGTGTTTCAGGATACAGTATGTTCGGTCTAAGTAAAGAAGGGGATATAATATGCCCAATAAATAAGTTAATTTTATTTAAATACATTTGTAGACTAGGGTTGAAAGCTATACTACAAGACAATTTCTAGATAACTGGAGCCCTATGGGGCAGATAGAATAAGAACTAACATAAAATTGCTTTTTAGTAAATTATAACAACTGTACACTGTTTTGAGCCCAGATGATCATGCTGGGGCCAAGACTGGATGAAAGAGGAGGGTTACTGTCAAGGCCAGCCACCTAAGTGTAAAAATTCTTGACTAATACAAAATATGAATCTCCGGTTAATTGGAGATGGAAAGAAGGGAGGGGGGGATAACTCAGTGAGAAGAATAATTGGAATGCCACTAAAGGTAGATAGAGTAGAGGACATCAAAAACTGAAATGTAAACATAAGATAAATCAAGATATGAAAGAGGATGTGGAGGATAGAAATTATTGGAGGACTACCTGAGTGGCCAACCCTAAAACTATATGGGATTAAAGAGCGAATGAAGAAGAACTGTAAAGTGTTTCTGCTACGTTATAAAGTTCCTCAAGAAGCACAGATACTCTGTGTAGCTTGTAAATCTTAATTGTCATCAGTGTCATTAAGTTCTTGCAAGAAAGACTAATAAAGTTACAGACTCTAGGCCTAGTCGATAATTTACTATAAACAATATCGTGAGTAACTGTCGAGCCAAAAGGGGACCCAAATCAGCCAAAATCATAAGTACAATTATAGGGAAATAAATATAGGGGCCCAATTACGTTTCATGCATAGGGTGGCCATCTTTTGTAGTTATGCCACTGAAACATACGCTAAGATTGTAGAGGCACTAGAGCAAAACATATTTTCATGAGGAACCAAAGAAATGTGCTTGAGCAGAATAACATTTTTTTGCCCGTATACCATATCGCCATCATTTTCTTTTCGTAACTTTTGTGCATATTGTGTAATGAGACTTCACTGTTTGCTGTATCTTTTAGAGGCTCCCAGTGGCACAGCGGTATGTCTGCGGACCCGTGGTAGGCAGAGCACAGATGGCCCATTGTGTAGCTTTGTGCATAACTTCAAACAAACAATCTTTTAGAGAAATTAGTAAATTTGATATTTGAATATTGCTCTCTACCTGATATATTTAAAACCAATCATTAAATCTGAGAAAAAAAAAAACTTTTTAATTCATATGTAAATTATATATTTGGTACCGATGAAAAATGTTTCTTATATGTGTTTGTGGACAAATCAGTTATATTTAATTAGCTCTGACCACACATTACCATGCTATGAAAATTATTAAATTTAAGTTTAAAAACTAAATAAATGACTCATTTATTTGAAAAGCAAATAACTAATAATTTGTATCAGAGATCCCAATATTACTTGCAAAGAAATACAAAAAATTAACATTCTCTTCATTGTAATACTTCTATTGAATGTAATTGTGAAACAATACAAAGAAGTATTGTAATATTTAGGTCTGACGTTAAATGAATATTTTCATTTGGTAAGCCACGCATGTTTGTAATCGACTGAGTTATTGTGCTGCTATGGTTTATAGAATTAAAAATTTAATTTCCACTAAAATTTGTATGATGGTTTATCGAGTAATAGGTGAATCAATAAGTCATAATTTATGGGTGCGCTTACAATTCATTCTTATAAACAGTTTTTGACATCCAGAACGAGATAGTAATTTCGTATGAATATGTATGTACGAAATCATAGTAGAATAATATATAAATATGTATTGCATTTTATCAAAAAAATCCCTTAATAGTACGTTATTTGTTATAATGTTTATTTCACATTTTCTGTATTTTGTAATTTTTATAAATTCCTACAAACAAGTTATTGATGTAGCTTCTCGGATGTAATACCATCAACTGTAATCTTTTTTGTGATATGCAATAAAAAGTTACAAAAGAGAGAAACAGGAATCAGAATGTCCATGTTCAGTTAAGTAATAGGAATAATGCTGCTACGACAATGATGTTAGGGTATTTCCACACATCGTAACTTTTAATAGTATTACAACATAGTAAAAAAGATACGTGAAACTAAAAAGCGTCATTTCATTTCTTCTAACATCTAGAACGTTAGTCAATTTTGCTTTTAAAACGTTGTTTACTGCGTTTAATATTAGCAAAATTAGTGTACATAAAACAAAAAAAGACTGGATCTATTGAAGCTCCAAACCATAAGGTGGAAAACAGGAGTTTCCTAGTGTGCAATTGGTCACAAATTGTACACCTGTAAATATATTTGTGCAGTTGAAAATTCACCTATATAAGTAAGTTTCAAGGGGATAAGTATTAAAAAAAACATATTTAAGATTATAAAATTCCCTTCCAGAATTGATAAATAAATGTATTTACCAGAATATTCTTCATTTCTTTGGATCATTTGTTACTAAGCCTATATGTATGAGATGCAATAAGGCGTCATGTATTAAAAAATGATGAAGTTAAAATATAATTTGGCAGTAAAAAAAAAAACCTTGGGAAAAGCTCTGGACTGAAAAAGAAATCATAATGGGATTATCTCTGGTTTAATTTATCTTACAAAAGAAAAACATTGAGCTTCTGATTTAATTACCTGAACTGTTGAGCCACAAGAAACAATTATGTCAATAGAATAGGGTATTGTGCCTCTATACAAACCTCAAATATTTTTAAAGCTTCTATTATTAGAATTAAAAAAAATATTCATATTAATGAAATCTTGCCATATTTAAAATAAGTTAGTATGTATCATAAATTATAAAGGCAATTTTTAAACAGTATATCATAAACTTGTTTTGTTTGTCTGTTTGTAATTAAGCACAAAGCTACACAATGAGCTATCTGTGCTCTGCCCACCACGGGTATCGAAACCCGGATTCTGGCGTTGTAATTCCGCAGACATACCGCTGTGCCATTGGGGGGGGGGGCATCATTCATTTTGAAAACTTTTTTTTTTAATTTTTGCCAAATACATTAACTTGTACATATTGTAGAGTTGGATTTCGTTATTAAAGAGTCTACACACAAACAATTATAAAATGAAAACAAAAGATAAAAACCGAATGGTTCGTACTACTAATCGGGTGGATATCTCTAAGTATTTCACAAATATGTTTGCATTATTTTAGCGCAAAGCTACATTATTAGCTAGCTATATCTGTGCTTTGTCTGCCGCAATGATCAAACAAACCTGGAATTCTGGTGTTATAAGATTTAAGCTTACCAATAGTGGATCAGCGAATTATATTACGAGACCATTGAGCTTATTTTCCAAAGTCTTAGCACATCTTCTATATGTAACTATAGCGTAGATCCTAGAGCAGAGGTTTCCAAATATTTCTCGGCACTAGATCCCCCAGTAAAATCTACATCCTGATTGAGCCCCCATACTTAAGGTTGCTTTATAATATTTTCATGTGTTCAACAAATAAGCCAATTTTGCTGTCATTCTGAAAAATCATAAAAAAATAAATTACCATTTACCCCTGAAGAAGGATGATCCACTTTCCAAAAGTAATTACTAAGAACTTCTAATTAAAAGTGAGCTAATTCTATAGAACAAAACTAAACTAGTTATAAAAGTAACTTAATTAACGAGGACAACCCTGTTGAAAAAATAAACTGACTAAGAATACCAAATTTCATAAATCAGAAAATGAAAGCCTATAATAATTAAAATGTATTAAAATCATTAGTTAGGTATCCTCTGTTAATGATACTTTCTATCGTAATCCTCTTAACATCTTCAGAGATTTGGTCAACTTAGATATTAAGGTTAGTCCAAGATCCATGTAATAAACCAACAATGCACACAATCATAATGTTCATCGAAACCATTCAACAATTATTTAAAACATTTTAAAAACAAAAGTTAATACATTTGTCGTAGGTCAAATGTCTCACATTGAAAACATTATGATGTTAGTATGTTCTGGAAGGTTCACTAAAAGAAAGAAAAAAAGACTAAAGAAGTAACTATAAAAAAAAACACAAAACAAATTTGCAGTGTTGAGTGTGTGTAAAACGTTGCTCAGAGACAAGAACTGTTGTTAATTAGGAGGTTATAATTATTTGAGTAGTTTCAGTTGATTTTATTTTTTTATAGCTTAAGAAATACAGTAAAATATAAATATATTTCTAACAGCTTTGGACATCAACGCTTTAACAATAATCTTTAAATAGGACTACTGTTTTTTATGTTTTAGGTTGACAAAATACGACTCAAGATTTATTCTACATTACAGTAAGATTTCTTGCTACGAGTTCTCTTCAGCTGTTAGGTTTTTTGGCTGTAGATTTTTTCAATAAAAAAATAGCAACACACTAACTTGTTTTTAAAAGTTATTTCGAGCGAAATACGACGCGTGCAGGACGAATTAAAGAGACAATCGAACATTCTGGCCAGCTAACGCATGCCTACTGCGTGATGATGAGACACGTGGTATATGGCTAGAATATTGAGCAACGTACACCTACACGTGACACTAGATCTGCCATTGTCCATTTAAGTCAGTTTGAAAGATCGTTCTAAAATCGATATACCAAGAAAGTTAACTTATTTCACTTAAAAACCACTTTTCCCCATAATTTCAGCCAAGAAAAAATGTCATACAAAGATTTTATTTTAGTTGCGGAGTAGACGAAAGCAGAAGCAAGCAGTACAACTTTCTTATAAGTGAAATGAATGGTTTCGCGTACGGATACATAAGTGATACGGCCGAAATATACTGTGATCGTCTACGAAGTTACGTTGCAGTAGAAACGTAACATTCAAGAGCGTGGGGACGTGAGATTCGATACGTGTTTTTATATTTTTGTACGTTTCATTTCTTGTTATACAACAGATCCTTCTCACATAAAGCGATCATAGTCTATCGGGAAAAGGCGATCTGTAATAGGTGAGTTGAAACATTAATATTTATTACAATTAACTGCGAAAATATTAGGCACCTTCAAAAAAGCCGGTTGTAGCTAACAAGAAACTATAGCGTGTTAAACTCCATATGGAAGAAAGTAAATAACTTTCCTGTGTTATAGTACGTTAAGTTGTTTGAAGTTAAAATATTTAGTTTTTAGTAAAAATTTGCATATGTTTGTGTACCTAATTGGTTGGAAAATAAAAAATGCAGAAACTCAACAACATATTTAACATATGTTAATTTAACTTAAGTTTTAAATGTTCTTTACTCCTGCCAAATGAGTGTATCAATAATCGTTCTTCATGTGTACCTAAATTGTGTCTGAACACAAGTGAATATATATATATAATTAAATGATAAACGAGAAAGACACCAGTATATAATTTTTTGAAATAATTTAGTGTAAGAGATCCGATAAGCTATAAATTTTAATAGAAGGAATATCCTATTGAAAATTACTTTTAGTATTTTAAATACCTATGTAAATTAGTTTATATTTAGTGAGAAAACGAAAAAGAGATATATTAATAGGAAATATTTTCATCAGAATATTTTACGTTAGCTTTTTGTATTTCACATTTGATCATATAGCATAGATATGTTAATTTAACATAAAATAAAGATAAAAACTCTAGTAGTGGTATTACTTGACACGTTTAAATATGGTACAATAAACGATCACCATATTTTTGTAACACGGCTAGAACTCAAAACTCTAGTAGTGGTATTACGTGACACGTTTAAACATGGTACAATAAACGATCACCATATTTTTGTAACACGGCTGGAACACAAAACTCTTGTAGTGGTTTATAAACAGTATTTTATTAAGTTATTACGGTAATACCTATAAAGGGGATATTTAAAGCCCTTAAGATTTGAGTGTATAAAATGAATACATCTCGTTTAGTCGCCTTCGTTGGCATTCGCATTTATCTTACTTCTGGTCACTCATTTTCGCGTATCTGAGTACAAGCAGCCTTTTTAGCATTTTAAACGCTTATGAAATGAAAATTATAAAACCAGTACGTGTTTATGGGGTTCATTCTAATAATATTCAAGTAAAAATATCAACAGAATTGTTAAACGGGCTATTAGGATCAAGTACACACTCAGAATTTAGTTAGTGGATGCAGTTTGATCCTTTTAAGTACTAATGCTTCTGGGGTCCGAGTTCTAAGATGTTTAGTTTATTAAATTTCAAAAAAAAAGTTCTAGGTGTAATATTTACACGGTTTTCTGTTTAAACACTTTCGTTGTGCCTCTACAATGTTGGTTACACTTAGTTACAGTGATAAAACCTTTACATTTTGTACAGTTCTAAAGGTAGAAATTATCTATATGATACATATAAGAAAGGGTGTTGTATATAGAATAATGTTTATATTAATATAGTTGTCCTTGGAATATATCTATCTAAGGTGTGTGCATATGCTAAAGTGGAATCTGGCACTGTTCGTTAATACAGGAGTAAAGCATCCGGGTTGAAAAACAAATACTGTAAACGTGTGCACAGCAGCTTGATGACGTAAGAGAAATTGTCTGGTTATTACCTTAACTCTCTTTCCTTGCATGTTATCGTGTAGATGAATGTGAGCTGATGGTCAATGCTTGTTTGTCACGTGATTGTCACAGATGTGTCGTTTATTGTAGAAGTAGAAAAGTTCCGAAACTTTTTAATCTTTATAATTTATCTACTTAGATACACACACACACATTAAGACTCGGGTAGTGAACGTTTATGGAAATGTATGCAGGTATCAACTTCCTAACCTGAAAGAAAAGGGCGTAGATTGCTTCAAGAAACTTGGATATGATTGTAGAGGCTCAAGTTAATTTTCTTACTACGGTTATGCCTGGTTTCACGCATAAGTCGTAACGCTACAAATGATTAATTTAAACATATATATAAGAGTAGTCACGAAATTATAACATTAATGTTGCAGAAATGTGTGTGTGCGCGTGTTTAATGGTGCATCGTGGTATTTATGAGAGTACTAAAACTACCAGTTATGACTTTACAATTCGTGAAGAATTGAAATAGATCGGCTGATGTTTTTACTGATTTTTATTATGTTTGTTTTGATATTTCATAAATGTTCAATTTTACTTGTTACACTACGTGAGCACTTTGTACATGTGCATAGCTTAAAGTTGGCAGTGAATTTTCTCTTCCAACAACAGAGTAACAGATAGATTGATAGATTCCTTTGCATTTCAACATCAGTTCATCTGAGATCGGAATTTCTGAATCATTTGTTCCCCTTTTAAGTCGTTAAGCAACATTATATGAACACTACGAAAATAGTCATCGTTGGCTTCAGTACGATTTGTGAGCAACGATATTTGCTGGTTTCATCTACAGCTCTAGATGACTCTCCTACGTTGACACAATTCATAGGCACTGTCATTGTAATGTTGTGTGTGTTTATTAACATAACAGAAAAATGTAGCCTGCAAAATAATGAAAGGTATTGCAACTACAGGAAAAACTGAACGTATGAACTTCAAAGATAAATGCTGCGGAAATAACATCCAAAAGGGGGGGGGGGCTTTGGGGATGTTGACATGGATGAATAGAAATCGTGTGTATACAGATGTATACACGTCACAGAAGGAGAGTGCGTTAAGTTTTCCGAATGTAACTTGTGATCCGGTGTGTGTGTGACTAGACAAATTTATTTACCTTGCTACAAATAGTTTTAAGATGTAATAATCTTAAAGATGGGAGTTTCGTTAATCTTTATAACCAACCTGTATCTCTCGTATTTTGTCTCGATGTGTTTAAGGTCACTTGGTCATTTTGTTTACAGTCGTAGATCATTTTTTTATTTGGTTATACGTATTAATGAAGCTGTACAATAAAGAGTTCATTCAGTAATACTTGTTGTCTTGATGATTATATTATTGTAAACTTTGTTTTTAATATAGACGTTTGTATTGTTGTTTGGCCAGAGGGATGTCTGTGTGTGTCTGTTCTAACGTTTGGAATTTTCTTCATAGCGTTAGAACAGCTTGAGCCAATTAGTGATTGAGTTAGGCTAGAGTTGGCGAATGAGTTTGTTAGTCAGTTAACAAATTAATTAGTGCATTAATTAGCCAGTTAGTAAATTGCTGTTATCAGACAATTCAATGTTGTTTATTTCAAGTTTGTATTTGTGATGAAGTATAAGAGATACGAACTTAACAAGTAAGTGGAAATTCTGTTTATACGTTATTTGTGAAGTTAGCGCTATCGTTAATTACATGAAACAGTGACACTTGTATAAGTTGTAGTCGAAGAAATAAAACGTTTTCGTTGTCATTAAGTATACTGGACTTTGCATTTTTCTTCTTGTTTTACCGCGTAATCCGAAAGAACTCGCCCAAAAATAGAAACCATTGCAACAATATATTGTAGAAAGTTACAATTTGTAACAATGTCTGATTCTTTCAATAAATAGGCAGTAACTGTCATATTTTTTCTTCATTCGTGAATTTAAGTAAGGTAACTAAATTTCCCATAGCATAATATTCAAACTTCTACCAAAGTTTATAATACCTAGTTTACTACCATAGAAGTATGAAGTTGGAAAAGATAAACTCGTTAAAAGCCTCCTATTTTGCCTGGTTTTCAAATCCAATGTTTTGATCAAGTAGGTGTACATTAGATAACGTCGATGAAAAATAAACTCAAGTCTTGTTTGAAATAACAAAACTAAAATTATTTAGTTTGTGGACTTTCTCTCTGGATAGTTTAGTGATTGCTATAATCGTCACTCTTCTCATAATCTATGTATTAGTTTTTAAAGATTTACTGAGTGTAAAAATGCGTAGGACAGCAGATCTTTTTTATGGCCCCAGTTATTTTGGAGTGTACAAAAACCTGTGGGATATTTAATTAGAATTCAGAATATATCAACTAAAAACTGTTAATATTTGTATACTTTAAGAATTTTTTTACTACCACCATTTCTAATGTGCTGTCTCCATGATCTCACATTAAGCTTTGTCACTCGGATTTTTTTAGTCGTAAAAGACTCTGTAGGAAGACATATTAAAGCAAACTGAATAGCATTTAACAAGGACAACATGCAATGGTCTCACTCAGGTTTACATAGAGTCGAAAGTTGTTATATTTGAATCGTAAAGTAGCACTTTTAGATCAGAAATTATTTATTCAAAACGTATGAAATTGTAAAAAGTTATTTAATTCAATTCACTAATGTGATAGGATACGTACCATTATTAAATAAATTGAGATCTGCAACTTCGAGCAGTATCTGTTCTTGTGATCATAAGAAAATATTTTTTGGATAGCATTATTGGACTGGAATATTTTTAAATTTGATCTTCTAATGATGTCATTTCCTGTATTTTGGCTCCCAAATGTAAAAAAATGAACGTATTTTAAATTTCAGGTTTTATTAATGTGAAATTTTAATATTTAATTAAACCTGTTAAGGCTGCTCCTTGTTGAATCCTTTCTTCACCCTTCCATGTTGCCTTTGCATTTAAAGAGCTAAAATATCGAGATTACGAATAAGTAAATGTCATGCCTTATACCTCGTTTTTACTATTAAATGGGAATCTTGTAATGGGCCCTTCCCTCTAATCTATCACTGCTAGACTAGCCCTCGAGTAGCTTTGCACGAAATTTACACTTTTAGCTCCTTATAATCAGTAAATGTATCAACCTAGTTTATAATTTTGATTTAAGTTTTATCCGTTGCTATCGGTGCACCTGTACTTCCAATACTTCTCACTACATATCGGTCACAGATGTTCAAAAGGACTATTTCAGAAACATGGCAAAGCATGCTTCAAACTAAGCGTTTACCCACAGGCATATTGTTGTTGTTTTTTTAAAGAGGGTATATTGTAAATAAACCACCAGTAAAACTGTTTCTAAGTTACGCAGAACGAGTTGTAATTAATATTATTTTACACATGTTCTCAGTTTTTATTATGATATACTACATGTAGTGTTTGGAGTAGTACTTAGTGACTTGGTCCATAGCGATACTAATAAAATGTTCTTGTTACTTTTAATTCGTCTTGACAGCTTCAACACGTACGTTAACGAAACATAGACTAATTCACTTGAAAATACTTTTAGAAAATGCAAATATCTTTTAAAATCCTGATTCTTTTCATAAATAAATCAGAACTTTATCAGTCACTAACAATTGTATCACAAGGTTTTTATTGGGACTCACGCAAAATCATTATCTCTGTATAAAGCCTCGTTAATACTCATCCTCAGAAAATAAAAGCCAAATAAGGAAATATTCGTTAGACGATCAAATTCATGTGAGTTCTTGTTTCATACTTTTACCTGAAAAACCCACGACCACACACAAGTGATAAAAAATACACATCCACCTCATCGTAGAGTACACATCAATGTTAAAAGCCGATTAACAACTGCTTATTCATTAATAAGTTACTGATGTATACTTGAGAGGCATTGTCAAAGGAGTGCTTCTGTCATCCAAAAACCTTCTGGGCAGATGTAGTCTATTACAAATGCCTGTCAAGTATACTTTCTCCTCTGTCTAAACCGTCTTTCAAGCAAGTACTAATACACAGTCATTGAAATACAAGTGGCTTGACCGTTTAGATGTAAATATTGTGTTTATATCTCCGAAAGAGTATTTGAGGCTGTTCAACTTTCAGTTAGCTTCTAGTAGTTAAGTTTTTCGTTCTTTTCAGTTTCGTCTAAATAACTTGACACTCACTTTATGTAATATTACCATACCATTACCAACTGGTGCATTGGTAAGGAATGTCACTCTTGGTAAAACTGAAGATGGGGAAGTGTGGCTGGAGTGTTGAGAGCTGATAAACACCTCGAAACTGCACAACCATATTAGAGGTAGAATAGTGTTGTATCATGACTGATGAAAGTACCTGAAAACTTGAAGAGTCTTAAGACTGTGAAATATAAAAGTTACACCAGTAACCTTACGAAATCACCCAGTTTTTATATCTGGTTTAACATTACATTACGCTATGAGTTTGAACTCGTGAGCATGTTTCTTGTGCAATGTTCCTTGACTCCCAGCAGGTGTTGGGGGTAGATTAATCGTGTGTGTTGTGGTTATTACTAAAAAGTATGAAACGAAGATATTTATTGGGATTGCAGTCGTTAATCGAGGACTTCATATTTTAGCATTATACCCTCGTTTCGTTTATTTACACGTAAATATTTGATTGCTGTATAAATTATCACAGATTTAATAATTCCTAAAACTTTGTCGAGCTTGTCTGGGTACAGATATTTGGAACATATGCACTGAATATAGTAGGTTTGAGCAAAATTGTAACCAGAACGACTACCTGTCTCCTTTCGTATGGTAGATCTTACAAAAGCCCCCAATAGGGTGTTTCTAATATATATAGTTCACGATGTTGTAAGGTCAAAGGTTAATGTAATAATGACGAATATTATTGTTGCAAATCGTTTTTACAAGTAATTGGTATTTTTTTTTTTTTTGGCATGTTATAAAGCTGTGTACTGAATGTTCCAAGCTCGATTATTGAAACTTTCAAGTTCAATTTATCTGGTTATGAAAACTGGACTGTATCTCCCTGTCTGTCTCCGTACAATCACTCAAATACAACTGAAACAGCTACACAATTAAGGTATCGCCAGGAAGAACTTTCCTTCATTTGTCATCACAACTCAAAGTAAGTGTAACTTGATAGTGCACTGTCTGTTTGATAGTGTCTTGTTATATGTAGCCCTCTTGTTGTTGGATCATCTCTACGCTATCGTGTTACAAATCTGGTCTTCCCGTTTGTAGACGTGTATAATTTTCTACTTAAAAGTAAAAAAAAAAAAAAACAATGCATGATTTACTTTTACTCTTCTGGTAACGCTATGGATGAAGCCTATAATATTTAAACACCGCATGTTTTATATAGTTTAGATTTTAGAACATTGAAGATGAATACGTGTAAAAAAACACAACATTTCGTTATGAGGGGGTAGTTGTGTGCTGAATACCATAGTTCATTAAGCTCGGAATATCTTTGTGAAGTTTAATTGTGACGCGTGCTTAATGGACTTGACCTTTGGTTAAAAGTTACTGAGCAGTTTTTAAATTGCATGTACATTAAGAACTACAAGCAATTTTGTTGGAAAATACGCATGAAAACGCGTGCAGACACATGCACGCACGCACACCACAGCATATTTCATAAGAAGTATAACATTTGGAACTAGTAAACAAAACTGTATAATCTGCCAAATCTTCAACACGTTATGAACTGGGGAGCCTTAAGCAATTTAAATTAGCTTTGGATAAATAATTATTTGCTGCTTACTTAAAAATTCAACACACACGCACACATTGTAAACTTGTAGTACACCGACTTTTGATAATGATTTCATTTAGTTTCCCACAAGCTGACGAGGGAAAGGAGGGAGCTCGGCAGAGAAGAGAAAATTCCCTAAAGTTTTAAACAATGATACAGAAAACGAATAAAAAAAAACGAAACTGATTATTGTTGGGAGTCAAAATGTTGAAAATTGAGCTTTCAGAAGTTAAACTGCTAAACATCACGTTTGACTTCTACACCCATATTACCCAATCAAACTTAAGTGTCTTTTTTGTGATCAACATACTTTTGAATGGAAAATAGCATCTAAAAGTGTTAATCAGCGCAAAATCTAATTCTGCAATCTTAATTACATTGTGTATACATATAGAAAAGTATTCGCTCTGGGCCAAAATATTAAATGTCAAGTCCCAAATGATACAAAAGTATGTTTTTTACCACTAACTTTAAATAATTTTTCAGAACAAAAAAACTTTATACTTAAGTGTAATAATCTTGTGTAAAGAAATTCATAATTCCAACGAATAATCATCTTCCAACCTTACAGTAATAACGAGTCTGACAAAGTAGGGATAAATCAGTAACAAGATTACTTCTTGGGTAAGCTAACTAAGTAACGTACACAGGTCGAAACAACAACTGTCAAAATGTTTAAAATTCTCTATCAAATAATAAATGACAGTGTTCTAGGATGAACAATTATTGGAGGCTATACCATTGGGCATGTTCTACGAAAATCAACATTTGATTTTAAAACAACGAAAACGCGAGGTTGGTGACATTGGATTATTAACGGAAAGTCTGGAAATAAAGAAGAAGAAAATACAATTATGAGAATCCTTACTTAAAAAAACTAAGTTCATTCTCTTTATAGAATCTCTAAACTTGTTTATACAAGTATCACAAAAATCTCATTCTACATTCTACCAAATTCATTACATTGTTTGAGGAATAAACGAAGAAAGATTTGACGTGAAATACGAGAGTCTGACTTAAAGTTACGATATCAGCTTAATGGAAACTGAGACTTCAGAGTACGCATGTTTGTGAAAAATGATAGAAGTTAAACGTGCAATACAACAAACATCAGACAACTGAGCAATAACATTTTAATTGTATTTTCAACGATAGGTATAACTTGGAACAATAGATAAGTTACTTTTGAGCAATAACATTTTAATTGTATTTTCAACGATAGGTATAACTTGGAGCAATAGATAAGTTACTTTTGAGCAATAACATTTTAATTGTATTTTCAATGATAGGTATAACTTGGAGCAATAGATAAAAGTTACTTTATCGGATTAATTGGAAACTGGAATTTATTTTAATAAAAATATTAATTTAGTTTGTTTATGACTACAAAGGCTGTCTATATTTTTTCATCTCAAATTGGTAATGGTACCGTATTAATTTTTAATGAATGTGTGTAAAATAGATATGATTTCTGATGTCATTCACATCACAGTTTCATTCCTGCGAATTTTGCTTAACTTGTGTTAGTATCCAACATAACAATTCTAGTGTTTTTTTCAAGTGTAACTCAAAATATTTCGATTAATATCTGGCTACAGTTATACTGGTGTAACATTAGTGTTCGTGAGTTTTAAACCAAGCATTAGCGCATTCGGAAATTTGATCATTTGGGAAACAAATGATTTTTAATCCTCAAATTTCCTTTATTTATTTTCTTCTAGCATCCAACATATCAACTCTAGTGTTTTATTAAATAGATACCTGGCTACAGTATTACTGATGTAATATTAGTATGTATTTGTGCGTGTTTTAAACCAAGCATTACCTCTCTAGAAAACTTGATTATCTGGGAAAAAAGGTTTTTTTTTACCCTCATGTTTCCTTCACAATATCCGTAGGTCCTAATACTTTTTGTTGTGAAAAAAGTGTTGCTGATACTCCTTTCCTGGAGGGTTCCGACGATGATTTCTGCATGTTCAGTCTAACTTGTGAAACAACAAATGACAATGGGAAATATCCTCGATACAGCAAAACATGACACTGTAGCATAACTCGTCTTCGGCTTTCCATTTTATTGTTTCTTTCTGCTGTACTTTCTATTTGAAATTATGTTTAATACTGATAATCTAATGTATTGTTATTTTTAGGATATAGTCTATTTGATATGCTTGTCTATAAATAATGTATTATCTTTTGAAACTTTAATGAATGACACCGTCTTACTTGCACAAAAACGGTTGGATAGAAGATGAATGTTTATCAGTGTTATTCTTGTTGATATACATGATATGGTGGATGTACATTCTTTTAAAAAAGGGTTAGGATTCTTTGAATTCAAAGTCTTCCGTTGTTTATTATGATCAGGAAAAATTATACAAACTTAATGTGAATTTAAAAAGCTAAGTTGTCACAGAATGGGAATTGTTCCAATATAATAATCTTATTGGTTGGCATAAGATAAGGTACCCCAGTATGCGTGGCATCTTGATTAAACGTATTCAAATGTCTGTGCTGTGGTAACCTAGAGATAGTATTGTTTGGAGTGATTGAAAACCACTCCACCGAAAGTACTCCGGTGTACTTTACTCTATCGGTAACACTCCCACAAACTCTTTCTGGAGTGGTTTTATGGTAATGTTTCCGGCGGAGTTCCAAAAGTATTTGGGAAAACTCGATTCAGTATCCAAACTTTCTGTAAATCCCTTTTCTCTGGTGGTACCCGTTTAAAGCTTCTCCATTGAAAATGCTCCCCTAAATCCACTTCACTGAAAATACATCGAAAAATTGAGTTATCTACCTCTCGTGCTCGATCATAAAGTATTGAGCATGGAGATAAAACACACAAAATATAAAACATGTATGTAGAACTTGTTTATACTCTAACAACCACAATAAGATTTTACTTAATCTTATTTAACTACTCGTATCTTCCATTTTTACTCTATTCTCTGTTTATTAGCTGGTTGTTACCTGTAGCAGCGTTACCTTACTATTACCCTCACAGAAGTTGACCGTACAAGAGAAACATTGTTCCTGTCCACCACTTAGTGTCCATAGATTCAGATAATAGCTGAGGGCGTGGTCGGTATTTTTGTGGACTTTGTCCGAGAGACGACTTTTTGAGCTTTGTTTGGTTCATGGTAAATCTGATGAAGGACTTGTTATAAGGCTCTAAACGTCTTCAAACCAAAGACAAATAGGAAGAGGCTAGTCCACATCTCAATTACGATATGAAAACCCACTTGGAAAGTAAATTTCCGAAGATGTTTTGGATGTTCAAAATTACTCTTTACTGAGTTATACTTAGAACATGTAATTCCATAATTAGCATAGCTCGGATAAGCAAGTCCTGTGCAAATGTCTGCATTATGTGAAAAGCAAACAGTTTACTGTGCTGTATTCTCAGCACATAATGCAGACATTTGCACAACTAAATGCATGTAGTGCGGTCAAAGAGACTTGATTTAAAACTTGAAACTTCTTGGACTTTACAAAAGTTGCCTCGTATTACAGGTAACAAGTGACGCAAGAGCTAATATTTCATAAACAAAAGTTGTTGTACCATAAATTTATATTTAAAATAAAGCTTGTTTACTGAAGAGGTCGTTGACGTCAAACTTTTACAGGAAATTAAAGGTCGATGTCTTGAATTTGGAACTATATGTGGCGACCCGCTCTAAATAATAAGTGAATGTATACACAACATTCCAATACAGATGGAAATTAAGATCCTAGTAAACTGACGCTGTGGTAACAGGTTGTAGACAACTGAACCACCTATATAACAGAAAAACTGCAGCTTGCTGAACCTAAGCCTTTACATGTTGAAACCAAATGAAATGCGTCTGTTTGTGTGTGTGATATGCGTAAGTTACGGTTGACTCGGCGAGTCGTTCATCTGAACATAGTTATTCCCCCCTTTTGACTTTTTGTTTTGCATATTAAAGACAAAGGAGTTGGTCATAAAAGATGTGATTAAAAAATCTAGTTAAACTGCCAGGGTGACTTTTGTTTGGAAAAATAAAAATATTAGTATTTATACATTGCACCCTCATTACCTAATTTGTGTAATAACAATTTGTATGTATCATACACACACCGTCGGAAAGACTCAAAAGCATGTAAATAAAAAGGCCAAAACGTGAATTAAAAACTGGACTTAACATAAACTGCAGATCCTGTTGAGTCACGAAGCATTTGACTAATTCTTTAAAATACTGTTTCGGTAAAAAATGTTTTAGTGGTTTAAAAATGAGTCTTGGAGCATTTTACTTCTAATATAAATAAAAACACATAAGTACAAATACTTTTACGTACATCAGTACACAAATTCTACTCATTTCACGTTTGTGTGTGTGTGTGTAGCTTTT